AGAGAGGTGGGTCATGGGCAGTAGAGATTCTAGAGAAGCCGGGAAAAGAGGGGGGGTTGGAGAACACACCGTTAAGTAAGCACTGGAGGGTGATGCGAGCAACTCCTTTGGGTGCATCGTTGTTGGCAACGACATGAATCGGGTTGGACACTGCAGTTCCGATGATCTGATCCGAGTCATTGAAGACCGCCACAGCCAGACGAAAGCGGGTATTGGGCTTCGTGGGGGAATTCCGCTTGCATGGGTCGTCGATGGAAATATGTGAGCTTGCCTCATCAATTGCTATGTACAGATGCTTGGGCTCTTTCCACGTTTCCTCCTCGGAGTCCGACCCCTTGCTTCCGCTCTTCTTCTTCGCCACTTTCCCGAACCTCTGTAACCCTCGCAGGATCGGACCCGTGCACTGCTTCTGGCACGCTGATCTGCTAACGGCCCTCCAGCGATAAGGTAATCGAACAACCGGCCTGTCGACGCCGCCTGCACAGCAGCCAATACCTCCTCCCCCTCCGGCTCCCACACCTCCTACCCCTCCTACCCCTCCACTGCCAGGACCGGCCGTTCGGGAGTGGGAGGCCGGCAGAGGCAGCACGTGTACACCTCCACCGCCGAACCTCCTTCTTGCAGACGTGGAGAGCACATCCTCCTCGCAGCAACCCGCTGCGCCTCCCATTTGTGTGAGGGTTGGCACTCGTGTCGTCGTGCAACTGACCGGGTTGCTGCTAAGTTCGCAGTACGCTTTGGAGTATACGAGAACCACGTACAGACGTACGCGATAGTTGTTCGAAAAGCGGACATTGAATTTGAGCGAGCACTCACGCAGGCGTTCCCCCAGGTCATTGCCCACTGGAGACTCGATGGCCTCCGCAACGGAAAGGTCAGCGTGCTGCCCTCCCAGCATGGAGAAGTCCAGCCGGACCTGGTTGTAGGAACACTTCTGCTTACCCAGCTTGTAGGCCCTGAACAGTCACGAACACATGCACGACGTGCAAAAATGGTTACAAACCTTTGGACGTTAGTTCATACTGCATGCAGCATGCGTAAATCTCACGAGCCTCAGGGAAAAGTGCATGCAACCACAAAGTTTAACACATGCACGACGTGCACGTTGAAGACATCACAACGTGACGTAAAATTTACGTGACGAAGGTTTCGAGGGGCAAAGACTGCATGCAACCACGAACGCATGCACGACACGACGTGTTTGACCAAAAAGCAGCTGAAAAGAGGGGGGGAAAAAATGTTTGATTTGAAATCAAGCTCACTTCAAGTTGGTGAAAATGGTAAAACTTGGACGTACATGATGCGAACATCACTAAAAAATTAAAAATTGTTACGTAAATCACATCCATATGGTTTCATGAGGGAATTTCAAAACAGAATGCACAATAAATAGGGGCCACACTAGCTAGGTCACAATGCACCCGGATGTCTGCACATGCCAAGTGCACGTTCTGTGCACCTGGACGTGCAAATTCCCAGCTTCATTCTGAGCGGGCTAGGGCAGCCCGTCCTTCCATCTCAAACACAAACGGGCTTAGCCTATCTCTGTCCTGCAGTTCACCCATCTCATAAAGCCCCTGCGCGAACGCGAACGCGAACTCGTACATTAATTACGCACGTGAATTTAGATATGTGAATTTCATAAAATCATTGCCTATACGTAAATAACCTGCACGCGTCCGTGTAATGATTGCCATGAATACGTTCATACTCTACATTGCGTACATCCAAGCCACATGCATGCATACATATATGCAAGCCAGATGCATGCATACATATATACAAGCCACATGCATGCATACATATATACAAGCCACATGCAGGCATACATATATACAAGCCACATGCATGATGCATGCATACATACATATATACGAGGCGCATGCATACATACAAACATATGTATGTACGTATACATGAATGCATGCATACTTATGTACACGCTACATACATACATGCTACATGGATACATAGAAGCTGCATGCACAAATGCATACGTAGAAGCTACATGCACAAATGCATACGTACAAACAAGCTAGCCACATACAGACAGACATATTTCGTTGAAGGCTAAGTTGCGAGAACAACTTGAGGGACGAACAGAAGACATGAGCATTATTACGGCGGCTCTTTTTTTTTTTTTTTTTTTTTTGTTGGGGTGGGGGGGGTTCCTCCCCGGAAAGGAGAATGGGGCGAACCGCGCTCTGCTGCAGTTCAATACAGAGGCAACTCAGGGGAATTGAGTAAGCAACCTTTACCCATATGACCCCACCGTACCCCTGCAACATTAATTTAATTTCATGTGGCCCGATCATCCCCCCGATGGAGCACGGATAAGATATTAAACCGATCCGAACAGATACTACACTTGATCTTACTTAGCCAAAAGGCCGAGAAAGGTATAGGCTGCATTTTATTTTTCTTACAAGTTAGTAACAACGGATTATTTTCCTCATGAGTCATGGCCGAGGGGGCAAGTCCCACTTGCACGGTCGAGAGAGACTCTCCGCAGATATCAGAGATCGACGGCCACCATCTGCGTTCTACTGTTGCACATCGTGGTAGGGAGCACAGGGCATTTTTTTCCTGTTTAGTTGGGAGGACCGGGGGGGGGGGAACAAACAAAGAGAATGTTAAACGCTTCTGGTTTTGAGGGAAAAAAGACGATATCATATTCCCCCGAATACAACGTACGGTCATTATCGCTGTATCTAGACTGAAAATCGACTTAATTACAGGCATAATGACCGTACGTTCTATTCGGGGGACGACGGTAGGAGACGGGAATGACAGTGCATCCATTTAAGAAGAAAAAAAAAAAAGACAACGCATCCATCATGAGCGCATGGCGAGCGCAGAGTTGCTGTAGAAAGGGGGAATCGTCAGCAACCAATACGTACACAACTACCGTTGTCACCGGAATAGAACACATCCGGTGATTAACGACGATGCATCTGGACAGAAAGATCTCACAAGTACAGCTATTATAACCATTGCGTTCTATTCGGGTGAAGACGAATAGAGAAACGGAAGATGGAAAAACAAAGAAAAACACAAAGGTGCGTACACAACTGATACAGTATCCGTTCCGGGGAAATAGACCGGAAAACAAGGAGGATACGGATGAAAAAAAAAAGGGGGAAAAAAAGGGGAAAAAAAAGGGAAAAAAAAAGGGAAAAAAAAGGGGGGGGGGGAGAGAGAAAAAGGAAGTGAGAGAGAGAAAAAAAAAAAAAAAAAAAAAAAAAAAAAAAAAAAAAAAAAAAAAAAAAAAAAAGGGAAAAAAAAGGGGGGGGGGGGGGGGGGGGGGAACGACTTTTTTTCCCTACATTTTTTAAAATTTAAACAAAAAAAAAAAAGAAGACCCAATAATGGTTGCCTTTTTTTTTTTTTTTTTTTTTTTTTTTTTTTTTTTTTTTTTTTTTTTTTTTTTTTTTCCCGCCCGTTTAATTGTGCTACAATGGATTGTTAGGGAGCCGCAGCGTCTGACCAATGCTTGTTTTGTACGGGTCACTAGTTTTTATTTTATTTTTTCTTTATTTTTCGCCCGGCGTTAGGGGGCCGTTTACCGCTAACGACGGGGCAATTATGAAAAGCATATTTTGTAAGAAGACCGCGTCCTCCCCTTACGGCGATTGCGGCTCGATTCACTCCGACGACTCAGCGACGCGTCCCTGTATACCACACCATACCTTGAGAGGCTTGAAGCTGCGCGGCTACTACCAACAACAGACCGGCCGCTCCTTCCCCGCCAACGGACCTCAAGCCACCGCCGGGGCCGAGGTCGCACTAGCAAAAAGGATAGGATCGAGCTCCTGAATCTGGATGTGTTTGAAGCAGAGATGCAGAAAAGCAGTTCAATCTCGATTTCCTGCACATGTCCGCAAACTCGTCCAGATTCAGGCATTCGATCTGATCCTCCTTGCTAGTGGGACCACGCCCCGGGTCTGTACTCATAGAACGGTCCCAGCATCAAAAACCAAAATTAAAAGGGGGAAAAAAAAAAAAGGAAGAACGGATGGGCCCCAGCACAGGAGAGCAAGACGTTGTTGTGTTAGTTCCGGCACAGGGGGGCTCGCTCCACTAAACTCAACACTTTACAAGGACCTGGACTGATATTCGACCAGATACATTCGGACGGATAGAAACGTTCTGAGTGTGCTGAGACCATTACCAGCACCAGGTACATCCAGACAGTTGTGCAAGTGGAGCGAAGCCCCAGGGACACATAACGTACTTACTTCGAGGGTACCTACTACCCAGTATAAAGGCATCAGCGCAGTCTGTGGGCCCAGAAGGCCCAGCGGGCAGAATGGGCCCAATCATCCCCAATGGGCCCAATGGGCCAAACAGGCCCGTTGGACGGAAGGCAAAAGGAAAGGAACGAAGAGTACACTGGGCGCAAGAAAGGTCCCAACGGAGGGGCTGTAATGGGCCCAATAGAGAAGCGCCAGCGGACAGTAAACGGACGACGACGGCGGGCCCACCGCCTCAACGGGACTTAACCGGCTGGGGGACAGATGGGACCCCAGAGCGAGACGACCTGGGGCCGGGACGAAGGATAACGACGGCCGGAGACGAACGATGTACCACTTGGTACCCAGAACGGGAATCCCGTTGCTGGGAGGGGGGAGGGGGGAGGGGGGAGGGGGGAGGAGGGTATGAAGAGTTGAGAAAGCCGCCAAGTTGTTAGCATGAGGTAGGTGGCGCCACGTGGCACAATTACTAAATAAGCGTCAGAAGTCAATGGTCAAATGATAGTGGAGAGCATAATGCAGATCAATGGTCGGGATCGGGATCGGCGACGACCATACCTCGATTTAAGGAGTCTTCCTTGAGCAGGAGCGCTGTACCGTTTCCTTGCCCGGAGAAACAGCAACGACAACCTCTCCTGAAACAGCAACGACAACCTCTCCTGTCTAAACAATGAAAACCTTTCTTCTGGAAGAATACCTCTATTCCTGTGCAGCACCCCTTCTCTCTCTCTGGGACGAGGTCCCACTAGCAAAGAGGATTGGATTGAACACCCGAATCTGGACTTGTTTGTGGGAAGATGCAGAATGTCGAGATTGAACTGCTTTTCCGCATCTCTGCATAAAACACATCCAGATTCAGGAGCTCGATCCTATCCTTTTTGCTAGTGTGACCATGCTCCAGGTCTCTGGATGGGTCGAGGTCCCATTTAGTTTATACCTACCTATGATTGGGGGCAGCGTGGACTTGACCGATGATTGAAGGGGGGGGGGTTCTTTTTTTCTTTTTTAATTCGAACTCAAAAAAAAAAAAAAAAAAAAAAAAAAAAACGACAGCAAGGGGCTGTAGAAGAAATCCTATAAGGCTTACGAATATCGGCCCCCCTGCTCCTCCTCCCATTCCTCCTCCCCCTCCTCCTCCCCCTGCCCTGCTTGACTTCGACGGCCTGTCTCTGCTCCCGATCCGGACTCAGGGGGGGCTCTTCTAAGAGGCATGTCAGCTGCACGCCCGCCGTCGATCTGCGAAATCTGAAGGCCAAGGGACAATTCAAACTTTTTTTTTTTTTTTTTAATACTTTTCCAGTTCAATCAATAGTCCGTTTCCCGTCCTCCTTTTTTTAATATTCCCCCATTTTTTTTTCCCGATTTAGCCACTAGCTTACCAGCCAGCCACCGATCTTTGGGAAAAACAAAAACAAGAAAAAAGGACATTCTCTCGATTTTATTTTATGCATGTCCTCCTTGCGCAGGTGCCATCCATGCTGATCTTTTTTTTGTTTTTTTTTTTGGAACCATGCTAATCTTCTCTTCTCTGTATCGTTCCAAATTTCAATGGATGTCCCAAAGGACACCGATCACTTTCATTTCCTCCTTCTCCTACACTCCTCCTCCCCCGCCCTCCTCCCCGGGTGCCAAGTTCCACTAGCAGCGTTGAGCTACCTCAGCGCCTGAATCTGGACGTTTCTGCGGAGATGTCCAGAAACGGTGTTGAGTTTCCTGAACTGCACGTCTCCACAAACACGTCCACATTCAGGCGTTGAGGTAGCTCAACGCTGCCAGTGGGACTTGGCCCCCGGTCCCTCCTCTCCCCCCGGTCCCTTCAGTATCCCCCATCTGGGAACAGTCCAGGATGATCGTCTCTGCATCCTTCCTCAACGCTGCTAGTGGGACTTGGCCCCCGGTCCCTCGTCTCCCCGCTCCTCTGCCCCCGGTCCCTCTCTCCCCCTCTCTTCAGTATCCCCTATCTGGCAACAGTCAGGATGATCGTCTCTGCGTCCTTCGAGTTCCTTTCTTTTCCCTTTTCTTTCTTTTCTTTTTTCGAGGGGCAGAAGGGGGAGGAGGGGGGGGGTTCAATCGTTCCAGATCACTCAGGACTGTTCTAACGGACTTCCCGAACGATCTCATTCGGACAGGTCGAGGAAAAAGGACCGTTTTGCACTTCTGTGCCCTGTCGGGCAGCGCAGCGCAGAAGAGCCCATTGTTGCTTTCCGTCATCACGCGCGCGCACACACACACACACACACACACACACACACACACACACACACACACACACACACACAGAGAGAGAGAGAGAGAGAGAGAGAGGAGTCGATTCCCTGGAAATCACCCGGATACTACCGTAGTAGTAGTCCACCGCCACGAGGGGCTAGGGATAACGGGCTGTGTTTTTTTTTTTCCGTTTCGAACTCATGCTCGAAAAAAAG